AACTTCAGCATGATACTAGCAAGCTTGGCATGATTGACATCTATGCTCAGCTTGAGGAGGAGTGTAGAGAAGATGGGCCAAATGGCCCATAGGCTGCTTATTCTTTCTTACTGTTTATGTTCTTTTCTGTAATGGGCCTTATTCTGGGCCCATCCTTTCTATGTTATGTTCTTTGTAATTTCTTGCCCAACTAAGGGCCTCCTTGTAATTATTCAAATTTATTTTAATAAAATAATGTTAGGGTGCTGAGAGGGAGTAATGTTCGAAACTCTCACTCTCAAACCCTCATTGCCAAACTCTCAAGGTCTGTTTTCTTCAATTTTCTTCAGTTTTCTTCAATTGTTGATACGTGAATTATTGTTGGCACTTAAATGGAGGATCGGTGCCACAGCTACACTACGTCATCCCTCGGAAACACTAGTCATCTTCTCCTACTTTAAGCTGCAAGGAGCTTAACCTGCAGAAACGGCTCTACTAACTATAGGTTGCTAGCTCGCACGGGAGCCTTGAATGGCTCAACCCGCAAGGGTGACTGCAAAGTCCGTTGACCGTCGACTCTCGCGGGTGCTGCGAAGGGCTTGACCTTAGAGGCGACCTCACGAATAGGGTAGACGAGGCTCGTCCGGACTGATTACCATTAAGTACGAATTTAAAATGAGTTGAAAACTTGGCTTTTAAGTGCAAATTTAAAATGAGTTGAGGTCGGCAGGGCGGCTCCTATTGGCCGTCAACTCCCACAAGAACAATGGAGAGCTCAACCTGCGGGGGCAGCTCCACAGTCTGTTGGTCGTCAACTCCCACGGGAACCATGGAGGGCTCGACCTGCAGGGGCGGCCTCACACCCTGTTGGTCGTCAACTCTCGCGGGAACCATAGGTCGGCTCTGGATGAGGTGCCCGAGTTGTGTCGCCCTCATGGTGCTGGGGTGTCGTCCAAATGTTCTAAGAAGCCACATGTCATGATGTGCAAAGGGCCAAATCTGCCCACATCAGGTACATTTCTTCCTTGCCAAATAATTGAATGAAAATGTAAAGATTCTACAGTTTTCAGGGCTTCCCATCTCAGTTTTCATTTTATTTATGTATATTCTCTTTAAAAGTAAACATGTTCTACATTGATTTCATAATTTAAGATCAGACACGTCAAACATATTTCAGTAGAGATTTTATGTATATTCTCTTCTTCCTCCTTCCTCCTGACCCCCCTCCTTGGGAGGTTTACGCATCTTACGTTCTGAACTACGCCTCACGCCTCTAGGTAGTGGAACGCCCCGCGTCATGCCTCCGCGTTTCAAGATTGACATTCAATATCAACAGTGGTGTTGGTTTCTCAATGTTACAGTTTGATTTCTCAGTGTTTTATCTGCTTCCATTTCAGTTCTATTTGGTAGGTGTGAACATCGGGAAAACCGGCAGTTCACTTCATGGCCAAATGAATGGAGTTGCCACCCATCAGGAATTAATAATGGGGAGTGATGGGTCTCTCGGATTTAAATTTTATGAAATCATTTAAAATTAACAACTCCATACCAATCAACCAGGACAAGGACATTCCGGGCAAGTTGAGAAAGAGAGAGGGAAGGGATTAGGCACCCCTCTCTCTGGTCGGTGTGAATACTGTAGTTCCCTTTTCGGCTTACGAGGTATCTAAGAATCGAGTTCTCTAGCAACTCGAAGGAGCATAGTGTTTCTTTCTTCTGCCAGTCCCTTTTGGATGCAGGAGCCTGAGCAAAAGGATGAGGGATCCCTCACCCCTTTTCTATCAGAACCCCCACCTTCGGACTCAGCAAACTGGTTTGAAGAGCGAAGAAGCAAGCTAAGCCTCTCTGTTACCAGAGAACACTTTGATTCCAGAACAGAACCAACAAGACAATCACAGGAGCAAGCAAAACAACAATAAAAGAAATAAATAAGCAAATAAATAAAGCAGATAAAAAGATAAACTGAGACTGAATTACCTCTTGTGGCCTATGAGTCAGATTGTCGATGCTGCAATAAAGCTCTAGGTTCCGCTTTTTGTCAAAAACAGCTTTCAAATGGAGATGTTTCGGTCATTATTGATGCTGGTGAACAAAATTACAATGGGAAGCCACTATTGCCTAGGCGGAGTTTGGTCTGAGACTAGGAAGAAGGCAGCCGCAAGCAACGGGTATTGGCAAGATTTCTACTCGGCTAATACAGGGAACTGAGGACAGGAGGGTTCACTAGGCAGATCGCTGCTACTAAGAGTTGTAGCGGCGATCCATAACAAAAACAGAGAAAATTGGGAGGAAGAAGAAGAAGAATGGGAGAATAAGGAACAAAGAGAGAGAAGAGAGCTCTAAGTAGATTCGTCGTTGCTGCTTCTTTTTCCATGAGAAGACGACTAACAATGCCGTTGCTATTCAGGTTTTGGGTTCGAAGAGAGGAGACGATCAACAGTGTCGCCCCTCCTTTAATTCGGTCTCTCCGCCTTTCTCTCTCTCGAGGCTCTCGGCTCTCAACTCTCTCTATTTTCTCTTCTCATTCAAACTCCCTCTCAACTCTCGTAGCTCTCAGCTCTTGGACTTCCCCCTTTCTCTTCTCTCTCGAACTCCCTCTTAAGTTACTTCTCTCATTCGAGCTCTCTCTCTCTCTCTCTCTCTCTCTCTCGGCTCTCAACGCCAGAGAATAAGACCTCTCTGATATCTATTCGAAGAGAATGATGCTCCCTATTTGGCATTTTGGGAATGATGCTCCCTATTTAACAGGAGGGGGCAAGGGTGGTTTCTACCAAAATTTAGGGTTTGCAAGGGTAATTTTGAAAGGGGTATTTTGGAAATTAGGTCACGAACTCAAGGGTAACTTGGGAATTTGTCAAAGGGGTATTTTGGGAATTTGGTAAAAGGGGTAATTCGGGAATTCGGTGCAATGGGTAATTTGGCATTTTGGTAATTTTGAGGAAATGGATCAAACTGGATCTAAGAGGGTATTTTTGTAATTTTTGAAAAATAGGTCAAACTAGGTTTAATGGGGTCGAGTCGGGTTTCTGGTTCAATAGTGGGGATTTTTGGGTCAGCACATGGAAGGTTGAGATGGGTCTGACTATAGAGGGGGTTTTGTGTCCATGGGCAAATGAAATTAGTCGAAATGGAATCTTTTTAGATGGAAGGGTAAGTGTGGGTATTTTTTGCTAAAATTTGGCAATGTGGGGTTTTTGGGGATTCTGGATTGATTAGTGGGGTCAGATTGGCCCAATTGGGCCCAGGTTAGGCAGATCTAGAAAGGGCTGGATCCGGCTAATCTAGAGCCCCGGAATGGAATCTTGGTATGATGGAGGGGTAAGCAAAGGTGTTTTGGGATGAAATTTAACAGGCAGGTGTTTGGGGGTGTTTGGGATATGATGGTTATGTCTGATTTAATGGTTAAGGTGTGAGTGGGGGTTGATTGGGGCCATTGGATAGGTATCGGGCAGGTTTAACGGTAGATCTGAGGGCTCTTAGGGTGAAATTTGGGTTTTTTGGGTTTTGGGGTGTTTCGGAGAGATCGGAAGGGTCTAAACGAGTGTTTAGGGTGAATTGGAAGTTCAGGTGGCGGACCAAACAAAAATAGGGTGCAGACAGCTGCCCTTCTTTGTTGTGAGGTAGGAAACTACAAAACAACAAATACCAAAATAAGCACACAAATTTTTACGAAGGGCAAGCTTTGAAAAGGGGTGAGCCGAGGATAGAGGATTATGGCAAGAAAAGGTGAAAAAGAAGAGTTCTTCTGCAGCATCGTTTCATTGTGTTCAGGCCAGTTTCATTCTTGATAAAGCGACCTTTCCTAGGTATCAAGAACCTTCGGGATAAGGGTACATTTGCCTTGAAAGAAAATAGATAAAACGAAAACTATTTGGAGAAAAGACCACTCCTAGGTATCAGAAACCTTGCGGAATCAGGGTACATCTTCGAAAACTAGATCTAGGTGCATCTGTGAAAATTGGATAAATGTAAATCTGCGAACACTAGATCTGGGAAGAATATTGCAAAAACTGGATTAAAGTAAATCTGCAAAAAAAATGGATTAAAGTAAATCTATGAAATCTCGATCTGGAATAATCTACGAAAACTGAATTAAAGTAAATCTGGGAAATCTGGATCTGGTAAAATCTACGAAAAACTGAATTAAGTAAATCAGGGAAATCTGGTTATGGGAAAATCTGCGAAAAACTGGATTAAGTAAATCTGCAAAATCTGGATCTAGGAAATCTACGAAAAATAGGATTAAATTAAATCTGGGAAATCTGGATCGGGGAAATCTGTGAAATCTGGATCTGGGATATTCTACAAAAACTGAATTAAAGTAAATCTGGGTAATATGGATCTGGGAAAATCTGCAAAAAACTGGATTAAAGTAAATCTGTGAAATCAAGATCTGGGATAAAACTGTGAGGAACTAGATTAAAGTAAATCTAGGAAATCTAGATCTTGGAAATCTACGAAAAACAGGATTACATAAAATCTAGGAAATCTACGAAAAATATGATTAAATTAAATCTGGGAAATCTGGGAAATATGGATTTGGGATATTCTACAAAAACTGAATTAAAGTAAATCTGGGAAATCTGGATCTGGGAAAATATGTGAAAAAACTGGATTAAAGACAATCTGCAAAATCTGGATCCGAGATAAAACTATGAAGAACTGGATTAAAGTAAATCTAGGATATCTGGATCTGGGAAATCTGTAAAATCTAGATCTGGGATAATCTACAAAAATTGAATTAAAGTAAATCTGGGAAAATCTACGAAAAACTGAATTAAAGTAAATCTGGGAAAATCTGCGAAAAAGTGGATTAAAATAAATTTGGAAAATCTAGATCTGGGATAAAACAGTGAAAACTAGACTGAAAGTAAATCTCGGAAATCTAGATCAGGGAAAATTTGCGAAAAACTGGATTAAAATAAATCTAGGAAATTTGGATCTGGGAAGTCTATGAAACACAGGATTAAATTAAATCTGTGAAATCTAGATCTGGAAGTCTACGAAAAACATGATTAAATTAAATCTAGGAAATCTGGGAAATCTGTGAAAACCGGATTTGGGATAATCTACAAAAACTGAATTTAAGTAAATCTGGGAAATCTAGATCTGGGAAAATCTGCGAAAAACTGAATTAAAGTAAATCTGGGAAACCTGGATCTAGGAAAATCTGTGAAAAACTGGATTAAAGTAAATCTACGAAATCTGGACCTGGGGTAAAACTGTGAAGAACTGAATTAAAGTAAATCTGGGAAATTTGGATCTAGAAAAATCTGTGAAAAACTGAATTAAAGTAAATCTACAAAATCTGGATCTGGGAAATCTACAAAAAACATGATTAAAGTAAATCTGGGAAATCTGCGAAAAGATGAATTGAAGTAAATCTAGGAAATCTGGATCTGGGATAAAATAGTGAAAACTGGACTAAAAGTACATCTATGCTGGGAAATCTACGAAAAACATGATTAAAGTAAATCTGGGAAATCTGCAAAATACTGAATTGAAGTAAATCTAGGAAATCTGGATCTGGGATAAAATAGTGAAAACTGGACTATAAGTACATCTGTGAAACTGGATCTGAGAAAATTTATGAAAAAACTGGATTGAAATAAATCTGGGAAATCTGGATCTAGGAAATCTATGAAAAACTAGATTAAAATAAATTTGGGATATCTGGATCTAGGAAAATTTGGATTAAAGTACATCTAGATCTACGAAACTGGATTAAAATAAATCTGCGAAATCTGTATCTATGATAAAACTATGAAAATTGGACTAAAAGTAAATATGAAAATCTGGATCAGGGAAATCTGCGAAAAACAGGATTAAAGTAAATCTATCACTAGGAAAATCATGTTATGGACAAATTAATCATTAAGACAAAGGTTCAAAATTCTTGCAAAGCACAATCACAAAACACCAACAATCATTCTTTAGTTTTTTTTTGGTAGTTTTTTTGTTTTTTGTAAAATAAGAGTTTCAGATATCATTCATTTCATTCTTTCTTTTCTTCTTTTTTTCTCTTTTTTTCTGTTGTTTGTTGTTTTTTTTATTATCATTTATATCATCTCAATTTATTCAACTGAAACTAGTGTTGGTCAAAGAAAGGAGATTTACAAATGGGATTTCTAACGCGAGTCAAGGCATAGGGACTGACATGACCGATGAAATTTTCTTAGTAAGCAAAAGGATATGATGTGATAGTAAAGCCAAGATAGAAGTCGAGTACGCACTGAACCACTCAAACTGTGGCACGAGGAAGTAGTGCCTTCAATTCCAACTCACATGAGAATGATCATGTCCAAATGGGCTACATCCAGTTTGCATCAGATGAGCGTGTATCCGGTCATTACTCAAAACTCATTGAATTCAAAAGCCTGCATGATAGAACTGTGAATTGTTGAACATGGGATTCACTGTAAGAAAAGGCTCATCACAGGGGGTCTACCCCAGTTTTTTTTTCTTTTTTTTCTCTCTCTCTCCTCTTCTTTTTTTTTTTTTGTTGAACAAAAGAGGTGGGGCTATGAAGTTGACACTTGACAATTATGATTCTTCATCGCCGGCCGAATAGATGCCTGGATCACCTCTTGGGAAATCATCATATTTTCATCATCATCATTTTTTTTCAAGGCTTTTCTTCTTAGCCACATGGATAGAGATTGCTCTTCATACTCTTCACCAACATGAATCGTGCCTCTTTATTGATTAGGGAGGACTTTATTCTGAAACGAAATGTAAATGGGTAGAAAAATCAAAACTATATGTGGGTGTCATCATAAAAGATCCCGTAACGATAAAACCATCCTCGCTGCCCCAATCTCTTCTAACTGTTTCTTGATTCTCCGTATTGCCCCACTATCATTATCAATAGAATTACCAAAATTTCATTCCCTTTTTCCTCTTTCTCTCTTTTACTTTTTCTTTCTTTTTTTTTTTTTTTTTGCTTGTTTTGATGCCCACTCGCTAGAAAATGTTTATTGTGAAAAATAGTTGACAGGGATGCTCAAAGGGCCAAATAGGGGATTTTACTACATACTATCAGGATTGAATGCCTAAGGCCAAACAAACGGCCAAGGATGGCCTCCCTTCATTTCGTTATCGACTGCACGTTGTATATTGAAGAATCATATGTCGAGCAAATCCCCCTTGGGCATCCTCTTTCTCTCTTTCTTTTGTTTTCTTTTCTCTCTTCTTTTTTTTAGACCTTTGACGATCCCCGAGGTGCATTCTGTGGGTTTGGCTAGTTTGCCGAAAATAGGTCTAATGTATAAGCTCAACTGGTTAACTATCGACTTTAGCGAATTCAAGGGGATCAATGAGGAAAGAGGAACGGCCACAGATGGCCTCCCGTCCATTCTTTGATTAATCAACAGGGCACTAGGTGCCTTTGTTCTGTGTCGATTCAGGCAATCTTCAAAGGGAACGGGCTATGCTTGGGTAGCTATACTTCTACCCTAGTTTGAACAAAGATGATGGCTTTATTTATGGGCTGGGAGGTCAACAGGAAGTTTGATTAACAAGCTCTTGATCAACACTGACTTTTCTTAAAGAATGCTTATGGGACTGAGAGGAAACTAACTCTACTTTCTTCTGCGAATAGACAGCCTCAAAAGGGCTAATCACTCTCTTATAAGTAAGAATCTTAGGCAAGAAAAGGATAAACGGGGGAAAACAATATTTTATTTATGGAAGTGGCCGAACCCATGAGATGGGCTGCTCTACATACCCCTTTGAGATGAAAAAAGATTCCTTTTTTCACTTTAAGATGAAAAAAAATGTAATAATCTCCTTCAGGCACCACCATAGACACCCTTCTGGTACCCTAGAAGCTCCTCTCACAAAAGATTCCTTTCCGCAGGAGCAAGAGAAAAGAGAGAAGTAGCTACTCCCTCCAAAGGCCTCCAAAATAGGTGAGACTTGAACCGCCCTCTTCAGAAAACTTCAAGAAACCCTAAAAAACTAGGGCACCACTTCCTAGGTCAAAATTGAAGAGTCCTACAAAAACAGAACTCTCCCCCTTTCTCCAATTCTTCCTGAATTTGGTGGGAAACCCTAGACCAGCTACAAGGCAATACAGATCCACCAAAAAATCCAAAAACTAGGTTTACCTAAGGTCTTCGATCAGCATCTCACCTCACCATGCAGTCGGCCAATCTAGGGCTGCATGATGGAGCAGCTCAAGTAGCTTTCGGCCTACTCTGATACCAAGTAGAAGTTGATGAAAGTTGTTTTAGTGTGATATTTGTGAAGAAAAGAAGAAGTAGAAGAGTTTCAGCAAAAGAAAGAAGAGAAGAAGAAGAGAAAAGAGTGGGATGTCGCCAGAATTGAATAGATCTGGTCGCCCCCCTTTTGATTTATATACTTTATAAAAAGAATAGAAAAGTGCAATGGTACCCTTAGTAGGTCGGCTACTTAAGTAGATGAACAATCACAACTTAACTTAACATAAACTAATGGGCCTAAGGCCCAATAACTTCCTAACTGAATTAAGTAAATAAAAATAAAACAAAGTTGGGCCAAATAACTTAAAATCGGCCCAATCTCAACAGACCTAATCAGAGTTATCCCCCCCTAAAGAAAGATAATTTTTCCTCCAAGAAGCAAGTCTTTTTTCGAATCTTTCCACCACCGGGTTCCAAAAGCTTTCTGTCGTGGGGTTATCTCCCAAGGGGAGGCCTAAATAAGTCAAAGGCCAATCTGAAACTTCATAACCTAGCAAACCTACGCATTCTCTTACCACCCTCTCCTCCATGTTTACCCCCACAATACAACTCTTACCAAAATTCACCTTGAGATTAGACATTTGCTCAAAGAGTTCTATTGTCAATTTTAAACTTCTAATCCAATTTATGTCCATAGTATCCTCTGCAAATTGCAAGTGGGTGAATGGAACTTCCTCCCTTCCTACTCTCCAGCCTCTCAATAAGTTCCTCAAGTCAGCTCTTTGAAGTAGTCTCCCAAGGACATTTGCAACCAGGGTGAACAAAAAAGAGGAGAGAGGGTCACCTTGTCTTATCCCTCTCAAGGCAAGGAAAAAGTCAACAACAATTCCATTAACCAAAATAGAATAATGGCAACTTCTAACACAACCCCAAATCGATTTGCACCATTTGTTCCCAAACCCAAAACATCTCAACACCTCCAGCAAAAAGGACCAATCCACTAGGCCATTGGCCTTCTCTAGATCTAGTTTGCAAACCACTCCCTTCATCTTTGATTTCCTAAAGCTCTCCAAACTCACTTGAAATAAGAATTTGATCAGTGATATATCTTCCTTCCACAAACACACCTTGGTTAGGTGCAATAATAGAAGGGAGAACTCTCTTAATCCTAAGAGATAGAACACTTTTGCAACTATTTTATACAAACTGTTTACCAAGATGATTGGCCTAAAATCTCTCGAGTGTGAAGCCTCTTTCTTCCTTGGGACCAAAGTAATAAATGTGAAATTCAACCCCGGATTAATTACCCCTCTTCTATGAAACTCATCAAAAACTGACATCAAATCCTGTTTCAAAATTTCCCAACAACCTTGGTAGAAAGCCATTGTGAAGGCATTAGAGCTTGGAGCTTTTGATCTGTCCATTGAGAAAACTGCTTCCTTTACTTCTTCCAATTCAAAAACTCCTCTCTAAACACTCCCTTCTCTCTTCTCCCAAATTCGGTCATTCCAGTCCATCAACCCAAACCTTTCCATTTAAAGGCCTTCTGAAGATGGATTGGACCCTCTACTTCCAATTTTAAATAAAATTCTTTCTTCTCCTACCATTTGCCACAAAGTGGAACAATTTAGTATTTCTGTCTCCCTCCTTTAACCATTTGCACCTCAATTTCTGTTTCCAACTTATTTCCTCTTTATGCAAAAGGTCCTCCAGTTGCCTTCTCAGATTCCATCTAGTCTCCCTATCTACCTCTCCAAAAGATCCCCAACTTCTTTTGTATCCAAATCCTCAATCTGCTACATCAAACCTTGCTTTCTTTCCTCCAATCTCCCAAACTCCAAAAGGCTCCACTCTTTTACCTGAGATTTTAGATATTGTAACTTCTTGTGGAATCTCATACCATCCCAAATTACGGAAGGATTGTAATGCTCCCACCATTCTCTGATTTTCTCAGTGAACCCTGGCTGAAGTAACCACATATTCTCAAACCTAAAAGGGGTTCGCCTCTCACTTCCTCCTTACACAACATTATAGGCCAGTGGTCTAAAATGAGTCTAGGGAGAGCTCTAGATGTCAAATTTTCCCAGTGCTCCTCCCAATCTAAGGAGAACAAGAACCTGTCCAGCTTGGAGCAGATTGGACTTGATTGAAGATTGGACCAAGTAAAGTTATTATTCAGGAGAGGGATTTCTTTAAGCTCAAAGGTAACCACAAACTAGTTGAATTTTCTCATGCTGGTAATCACACTCTGTCTAGGGTTATTGGTTTCTCCTGCAAATCTCACCAATAGTAAAGTCCCCTCCCACACACCAAGGTCCATCCCATAAGCCCCTTACATCACTCAATTCCTCCCACAGTTTCTTCCTTTGCCCATAGTCATTGGGGCCGTATAAATTAGTTAACACCCATTCAAATCCATCTTCCACCTGCCTAAATTTCATTGAAACTGAGTGATCACCTATTAATTCCTCCAACCCTACCATCGCATCCTCTTTCCACAATGTTACTATCCCACCAGAAGATCCCCATGAGGGAGAAGCCACCCATTTTATTCCCCTAGATCCCCATATACTCCTTGCCTATCTGCTATCAAAATCCATTCTTTTGGACTCTTGAAGCAAAACCACATCCAGGTTGAATTTTCTAACCACCTCTTTAATAGTTGCTCTTTTCCTTGCACTACTCAAACCCCTCATATTCCAACTAAGGAGCTACTCTTATGTTCCTTCAAATGGGTTTATTTTTAACTCTATCCTTTCTAGTATTCTCATTCATCCATCCCAACATTGGGTCAAATGGGTCAACCTGTAATATCATAAATCAAATAGTAAAAAGATAAAAATGCAGAAAAATTGGATATGCCTCCAATATTATACATTCATCATATTAAGTAAAAAAATGTGATAAATGAGAATTAATATTACTAACAATGGAAATGGATAAAATACAACAAAAAAGAAAAAGAAAATTAATTTCTAACCCACGATCCATTGATCAGGTCAAATAGTTAAAAGGTTCAACTGGTTAGGTCGTCGGGTCATTGACTGAGTAAACTTCTTTTTACATGTAAACAATTTAGGGGCTAATCAGACCCAGAAACCTGCCCGGGTAACAAGCCAGCCTGTCCAACTAGTTGGCTCAACCACAGGTTGAAAACATTGAAATCCATTGGTCTCCAATACTAAGAGTACCCTGATTCCACTCCTATTATTATTAAACTTACATTCCATATATTCTGTTTTAGTCCTTTTTTTTGCTCCATTTTAGTCTTAATTATTTTAAAATAATTTTTTCTAAAGCATTTGTCCATAAATCCAATTTTAAATTTAATTCCTCTTTTTCGTTTCATCAAAATTGTTTTGGTAAAAAGTTTCATCAATTAATACTATGGCATCAGCAAACAACAAACACCATAGGACCACATGCTGAGCCATGGTGAAGTCCATTGTGATAGGAAAGTCTGATGTCTCCCATATGTGTTACAACGTTAGTTGTTGCACCTTCATGCATGTTCTTAATCAAGTCCAGATACCTATTTGGCACTCCTATCTTCTCCAAAACCCACCATATTATCTTTTGAGGAACTCTATATGTAAAATGTGAAAGTATATATATGGGAAAGGGGCTGCAAGTTTTTCAATGAAGTGGTAGCCATTTCAAAATTATAACCCCAAGAAAAACAAAACTACATTTCTATAATGCAAAAGCCTATATTTCAGACCTTTCAAAGCCACAACATTTGAAGATAGGACAAAACCATCAATGATGAAGACAACAGAAGCTGGAAATTCCCAAACCTGTACAATTTTAATGCCAAATTTATTAGATATGACAACAATGGAAAAAAAGGACAACTCTTTTGCTAAGACAAAAAGATAACCTGATTAAAGAGTATAACACAAAAAAGAACTATGTCCTGTTTTTTTTTTGATCAATTAAAAGAACTATGTCTATAGTGGAGATTAAAATGTATAAATAAAACTAAATGCTAATATACCATCATGGCTATGAAAAAAACCTTGAAGTAGCTTGAAACAACAATGGCCAATAAAATGTCTTTGTACCTGTGCAATTAACTAGAGCAATAAACCACCATGTTTTCACATTTGTGTATGTACAAAAAAGAACATACAAGACTTAATTCCCAATTAACAAAAACAATAAAATCTCAAATAATGCAAGCCTATTTCTTAATTTTTGCTCTTGAATAAACCAATCAGTGCACACAAATAAATTAAAAATTAATAGCAACTATTTCCCTGAGAAAAACATGTTTACTACTAAGTAGGAGGATGTTGTTTCCCATGGAAAGAACAATAACTAACAAGACTTTCACGGTTAATCACCATATGCATGTTAACTTCTATAAACAGGGAAAGTAAACAATTGTTCAAGTTTAGTAAGATCCAGCAATTATACCACATGGGGAAACACCACTAATGAAATTGAATTATTCTTCTAGGTCATATAACACAGCTATTGGCTAAACAATCAAATCCAAAGAAATTTATCTTCTCTCTTCACGGAAATCTAATAAACACTCTCTAATCATTAGGTAAGTCAGGTGACATAAAAACCAGCAACATATTGCAACTCCAAAAAACATCTGGGCATAATCTTCTAGATGACAAAGTGTCCATGCTGTCCATATACAGACAAGACATGGCAGGAAAAAGTGTCAAACATGAAATTACACAACTACGTTAAAAGTTGAATTATCTGAGACCAAATGATTCCAATGTACAGCTACCTAAGGTACCATAAAGGGGAGCTAGAAAGTGTCAGGGTAGGGATATCAATGGGTTGGATTTGGAACAGTTTGCCTTAATCAAAACCCAACAGACTTGACCCATGAACAGTACCGCTGTTCTTAGTGAAGGCTATATTCACAAAATTCCAAATTTAACTGTCACCCATTAAAGAGTTTTCTGAATATTTCATCATGAACATCTGTCACCTGTGATCTTTTGTGTACTCATTAAGGTTTATGATAAACATAGTATCGATTTCAAATAAAACAAAAATATAGTTTCAACTTTCAAGTCTTTTTCTTACACGAGAGAAAGAGAGAGATTAATATAAGTCACACATAACAATACCAAAGTATTTTTTTTTTATCAATATAACAATACCAAAGTATCTTTATGAGTTAGATAAACAAACGTCAAAACACCAAATGAAAAGGAACGAAAAACCAGAACCAAGTGATGTCATGGATTACTCAAGGCAGATTTACCTAAATGACCTAGGAAAGGATTTTCTATGTGGCAAGATGATTGAGGGCCCAAAGAATCGCACAAATTCTTCTTACCACTCCCTATTAATGGTGCAAATTTCAATGCCAAAACACTTCCCACATATTCAAAACATGCCCATTTTTTAGGCATGTCTTATATTAGTTGAGAGTAGAAATTGCTGAAAGTTGTTTTTGATATGATCTTTATGAAGAAAAGAAAAGAAGTTGAAAGGTTTCAGTAAGAGAAAGGAAGAGAGGAAGTTGAAGAGAACAGGATGTCGCCATAATTGAATAGATCTGGCCGCCACCCCCTTTTGATTTATATACTTTATAAAAAGAATGAACAAATACAATAATACCCTTAGTAGGTCGGCTACTTGAAGTGGCTGAACAGTCATAACTTAACATAATACCCTTAGTAGGTCGGCTACTTGAAGTAGCTGAACAGTCATAACTTAACATAAACTAATGGGCCTAAGACCCAATAACTTCCTAACTGAATAAAGAAAATAAAAATAAAACAAAGCTGGGCCAAATATCATCGGCCCAAACTCAACACTCCCCCTCAAATTGGGAGTAAATGTCACACATTCCCAACTTGCGTAGATCATGCTCCAGCTTGTTTCTTGCAACACCTTTTGTAAAAACATCAGCAAGCCGCAAATCAGAAGCAACATATGGAAAACAAACTTCCCCTAAAGCCACCCTCTCTCTTATAAAATGTCTGTCCACTTCAATGTGCTTTGTCCTATCATGCTGAACTGGTTGTGTGCAATGTTAATTGCCGCCTAATTATCACAGTATAGCATCATACGTTCTTCTACCTCAATCCCAATTTCACCTAGCAAGGAACGGATCAAGAGGAGATCTGAAACTCCATGTGTCATGGCTCTGTATTCAGCTTCTGCACTTGACCTTGCCACAACTGTTTGTTTCTTACTTTTCCACAAAACCATATTGCCTCCAACAAGAGTGCAGACTCCTGATGTAGATCTCCTGTTATCTAGGCATCCTACCCAATCAGCATCTGTGTAAGCCTCTAGCTTCAAGTGTCCATGGTCAGCAAATAGTATGCCTCTGCCTAGGTGTCCCTTCAGATAAGCAAGAATCCCATCAACAGCCTCCCAATGCTGAACTCATGGGACATGCATGTATTGACTCAACACACTCACTGCATAAGAGATGGCTGGTCTTGTCATACATAAATATAACAACCGCCCCACTAGTCTCTGATATCTCCCAATGTCCTTCACTAGCTCACCTTCTAATGCATTAATTCTATGATTTTGATCAATAAGAGTACTAGTTGCCTTTGTTCCAAGTTTTCGTGTCTCTTGTAAAAGGTCCAGAACATACTTCCTCTGTGAGATAAAAATTTCATGCTTTTATTCATCAAAAAAAAAAAATTTCCATGCTTTGATCTTACTACCTCAATGCCCAAGAAATACCTCAACTCCCCAAGATCCCTAATTTCAAATTCTCTGTGCAAATTCTTCTTCAAACTATCAATCTCACTTAGGTCATTTCTTGTAACTACAATGTCATCCACATAAACTATCAGAACTGACACCAGGGACCCCCTCCACTTCACAAACAAAGTACGATCTGATTGAGTCGGAGTATAGCCAAAAAGCAATCAAGGGTTTTTTGAACCTGTCAAACCACGCTCTGGGTGACTGTTTCAAACCATAAAGAGACTTCTTAAATCTGCATACCTTTCCAATATATACTTCTTCTTACAGGTCCCCCATTAAGAAAGGCATTTTTTCACATCAAGTTGGAAAAGGGGCCAAGAGTATGTAGCAACAAGAGAGAGAAGGACCCGAACAAAATTCATTTTTGCAACTGGTGAAAAAGTCTCTAAGTAGTCAATGCCATAGGTTTGAGTGTACCCTTTTGCAACCAGTCTTGCCTTATACCTTTCTATACTTCCACCTACCTTGTATTTAACTGTATAAACCCATCTGCATCCAACTGTCTCCTTGCCCTTTGAAAAATCCACAATCTCCCACGTTTGATTTTTAATTAAAGATTCCATTTCTTCCTGAATAATTGTCTTCCACTCAGGTTTGAAGAGAGCCTCACTGACACCCTTGGGTATAGACACGGAGTCAAGGGAAGAAAGGAAGGCTCGATAAGAAAGAGAAAGTCCATTGAAGGAGAGATACTACGAGATACAATGAGCAGTACACTTTCTCTTCCCTTTTCTGAGTGCAATAGAAAGGTCAAGGTCATTTGTAATGGGGTTAGTGGAATCAATAGGAACTAAAACATCAAAGAGAACAAGAGGAATACCAGAGTCAGTGTCAGCCGAATCTGAAGTCTCCAAGGAGTCGATAGGAAGTGATGTGGGTTCTTCTTCTGTGGAATCAACCTCCCTGTGAAGTCGCAGGCGCTGTCATGAGAAGCACTAAGAAACAGGATGCAAGGGAGGTGGTAAAGTAGGTGACATAAGAGGATTAGACATAGGAGGGTCAGACATAGGAGTGGACACAGGGACTGGAACTGGAAGAGGAATAGACTGCACACTTCCTTCCCCAATACACTCCCCCTGAGAAGAACCCCTCTGGAAGAAAGGTGTGGACTCAAAAAAGGTGACATCCATAGTAACATACCAACCAAGGTTCAAAGTATCGACACGTATCGACCCGTATCGGCCGATACGTATCATTCCTGGACCTCTCCGATACACCCTTACAGTGGATGTATCAAGGGTCTGACCGGTTCAGGGTGTGGAGGAGGCCTAAACCGGCTCCCCTAAACCAGTTGCGAAAAAAAAATAAAAAAAAAAAAAAAGCACTAAAAAGATGTATCGATTCACCTAATACACCCAGAGACTGGTCATAGCAACAGTTTCCTTTCTGATTTTCTGCATACCTAAGAAAAACACACTTCTTTGCCTTCGGATCAAGCTTCGAGTAGTGGAGACCAAGAACATGAGCAAAGCAAACACAACCAAAAACCTTGAGAGTAATGTGAAACATCTCCCCCTCAAGAAAAAGGTTGAATGGGGTGCTATATCCAAGAACACGAGAAGGCACCCTATTAATCAGAAAAACTGCTGTGAGAACTGCATCCCCCCAAAATCGAACTGGAATAGTAGATGTTATCATCAGGTTCAAAAAATCGATACGATACGCCCGATATGCCTATTTACAGGTGTTTCAGGATCCCATTATTTTTTAATGATAAATATGGGTATTAAACAACCCAAAAACCAAATTTTGAAATATATATATATATATATATTTCCGCATGGTTCAAAGTACCGATATGCCTCTGCGTATCGATACTTTGAACCATGGTTATCATCATGCTCCTTGCAATCTCTACAATGTGTCTGTTCTTCCTTTCTGCTACACCATTTTGCTGTGGAGTGTAAGAACAACTACTTTGATGAATTACTCCATACTCTGATAGATATGAAGCAAGGTTCTTTTTTTGATGAATTACTCCATACTCTGATAGATATGAAGCAAGGTTCTTTTTTTGATGAATAATAATAAGTTTATTGATTCAGAAGCAAATTTAGAGTGAGTTCATACATCATCCCAACGAGAGGCGCGAGCT